TATAATAAACAGTGAGTGTTTTTGTCACCAACTGGGTGTGTAACGTGATTCGTGTGCTGAGGAGCGATCAGAAACGGCAGAGAACAGAATCGAGGTGAGGCAGGCAGTTCTCTGGCCTCATGGCAGGGGGCGCTCATGATCCCACACATTTACTGTATGGCTACAGCGAGCTAGCCAGTAAATGAGTGAAATGCAGCGATATATTTAAAGTTTCCTCCTCTCTTCCCACGTCAACATGGATGACTACATTTCTACACTTAAACAGTTTTCTAAAGTGGATTTCCAATTGAAGTAGGAAATAATAACTAAAGACCATCAACGCAGCTGGAAAGTTTGCTTCGAGACAGAAGAGTACCGCTCTTCTCAAACGGAAAGAAAAGACCGGCTGTGGATGTCCTGCTAGAAACCATGAGAGTCTGTAAGTTTTGTCCCAAGGAACCTCTCATCATAAGAAACTGCCTTTTCTGCTTTCCTTCCTTATTTTCTCAACTTGTGGCACTGTGTGGACTCGTGGGATTTTGTGGTTTTACCACTCAAACCACAAAGCCAGATCCAGTTCGCAGTTCTAAAAGCGTTTGGGATGTCGAGGATAGACTTGGCTTTGGAAGAACGGATATTTTTGTGCAAAATGAACCTCATTTATTATGAGTAAAGGTAAGACAGGAATAACATTTTTCTTTAGGTTTTTAATTAAATGTGTGTTTTGTGGGCTAGTTTGTATGTGTAAAGAATTCAGAAAAGAAACATAACCTGCAAACTGCTGTTAGCTTAGCTAATAGCAGCGGTAGCTAATCTACCACATCCTGCTGCAACAGACGGATGTTTTGTTCTTTATGTGGGAAATATTTGAGTGTTTTGTTTTTTGGTGATGAATCCTAACAAAGAGGCGTTGTTTCAGTTGCTATGGCAGCGAGTTTGCGTGTAGCTTGACCGATACACAGAGCGAAAAAGAAGTGGTTTGGAGTTGTGCTTCGGTTTTTCCCTTTGCTTTGGATCATAGCACTAAATTAATAATACCTACATTTCCAAGTTTCATTGAATTACCGGAATTATTGCAGCGAAGCAGCGCAGCTGTAAATGGCATGTAAAAGTCTTTTTGCCCTCCAGGGTTGTTTGAGTAATTTCCATACGTAAATGATAACATGCAAGGTGTCTGTATTTATATATATATGTGGACTTGAAGCCCCGAGGTCAAAGTGGGGAACACCCCCAAAGGTGGTGGAGAATGACCGAGCTAAGATCCTGTGGGACTTCCAGATCCAGACAGACAAGATGGTAATGGCGAACCAACCGGACATTGTGGTGGTGGATAAAGAACAGAGGAAAGCCGTTGTGGTGGATGTAGCAATACCAAGTGACCACAACATCAGGAAAAAGGAGCATGAGAAACTGGAGAAATACCAGGGCCTCAGAGAGGAACTGGAGAAGGCCTGGAAGGTGAAGACCACAGTGGTGCCTGTGGTCATCGGGGCCCTCGGGGCAGTCACCCCCAAACTGGAGCAGTGGCTCAAACAGATCCCAGGAACAACATCAGACATCTCAGTCCAGAAATGTGCAGTTCTAGGCACAGCCAAGATACTGGAGGAGAACCTGAAGCTCCCAGGCCTCTGGTAGAGAGAGAGAGAGAGAGAGAGAGGAACTCTCTCTCTCTCTCTCTCTCCACCCGCAGAGGGCGAGAAGGGATTTTTTTTTTTTTTTTAAAAAATCCATCTTTAATGTTTGACAGCTGTTCCCGACTCAGGGAAATTGCAAACTTCATGAAAGGATGAGGTATTTATGAACATATTTAAAATCTAAAAACCACAAAATCAACAAATTAAATGATTACATTAGATGATTATCTGTTAATAATCACTTATTTAATTTATAGATGAATGAAGTGAAGACACAAGAACAAACATCAAATGTGACAGTTTGAACCTCAGAAGGTCCCGTTCAGACTCACGGAGCCCCGCCCAGTACAGTCGCCCTCTGACCAGACCGGCTGCTGGTCACACTGGTTTTGTGACCTTCACCAGTTAGAAAAATTATCATTCTGAGACATTAAAGTGGATCAGACTCATCTCTGAACTCCTGGGCCACAGCTTCTTGATGTTGAAGGACTTTTATAAAAGATTTTAAGGATTTTAAACATTTAGTTTACATCCCAGATGTAAACTAAGCCATCTTCCTTCGGTATCTGGCAGGAGAAAGATTAATCTAGAGTCTCAATATTCATCATAACAGCTTAATAATTATAAATGTTGCACTTAGACAATCTCAGGACAGTTGTGGAAACACAAAGTTCATAAATTAAATTCTTTTTTGACTCTAGTGGCCTTCACTGAACCGTTGATGGACAGGAAACGGGGAGGAGAGAGAAGACAGAGACCGGGAACTGAACCTAGGACAGCTACGCTAAAGACTGCAGCTGCTGCGCTCTACTAACTGAACAACGCGGCACCATGTTTCTGAGTATTTTCTAAATTCAACTGACTTTCAGCTGTTAATAATAATAAATAGTCTTTATCTTGAAACTACCAGATCATCTCTTCACACATCAGTCCACCTTAATCTGACTGATCAACCACACAGCTTAGATCCTCACCTGTGTGAGTCTTCATGTGACGAGCCAAGTCATTACTCTGTCTGAAAGGCTTGTCACATAATGCACAGCTATACGGTTTCTCTCCTGTGTGGGTTCTAAGGTGACGGGTCAGATCGTTTCTCTGTCTGAAGGATTTGCTGCATAGCTGACAAGGGTAAGGCTTCTCTCCGGTGTGAGTCATCATATGATACCTCAAGGTTGTTTTCTGGACAAAACCTTTACCACAAGCCAGACACTGGAAAGGTTTCTCTCCTGTGTGAGTTCTATGATGACGGGTCAAATCGTTCCTCTGCCTAAAAGACTTATCACACACTTCACAAGCATACGACTTCTCCCCAGTGTGAGTCCTCATGTGTCTGGACATGCTGCTGCAGTCACTGAATGATTTACCACACACTTTACAGCAACATGGCTTCTCACCTGTGTGGGTTCTCAAGTGAACGGTCAAATGCCCGCCGAAGCGGAAAAGCTTCCCACACACCTTGCAGATGTACGGTTTCTCCCCAGTGTGAGTCCTCATATGTCTGAGCATGCTGCTGTACTCACTGAAGCTTTTACCACACACTGAACACGAAGATGGCTTCTCACCTGTGTGAGTTCTCATGTGGCGTGTCAGGTCGCCATTTTGTCTGAAAGATTTGTCACACAATTCACAATTAAACGGTTTCTCTCCTGTGTGAGTCCTCAGGTGACGCACAAAGTCACAACTCCGCCTGAAAGATTTATCACACGACTCACAGGAATACGTCTTACTGCCTGCGTGAACTCTCAGGTGACGACTCAGCTTAGACTGCTTGTTAAAGGCTCTCCCACAGGTCACACATGAGAAAGGTTTCTCAGCCATGTGTGTCCTCCTGTGGCGAGTGAAGTCACTGCTGTGTCCAAAAGATTTCTGACACACCTCACACTGATACGGTTTCTCACCTGTGTGAGTCCTAAGGTGGCAAGTCAAATCACTCCTCTGTATGAAGGATTTACCACAGAATTCACAGCTGTGTGGCCTCTCTCCTGTGTGCGTTCTCATGTGGTAACTTAAGGTGGTTTTCTGGATGAAACCTTTACCGCACACCGGACATTGGAAGGACTTCTCACCGGTGTGGGTTTTCATGTGTAGAGTCAGGTCCGGCTGCCTGAGGAAACTTTTCCCACAAGACTGACATGAAAAAGGCTTCTCACCTGTGTGAGTCCTCAGGTGAGCAGTCAAGTACCTGTGCTGCCTGAAACTTTTACCACACACATCACAGGACACATCTGTCTTGCGTCTCTTGGATTTTGAGTTGTCCTCATGGCTCCTGGACATCCAACATCTCTCACGTGAGTTCTGGTCTGTCTGGGATCTGAATGCGTTTTGGGCTTCGGGGGAGAACTGGTTCTGGTTTGGTTCTGGGTCCATGGGGTCATGGACTGGTATCATGAAGGTTTCGGTCTCCTCCTTCACTACAACCTGCTGGTAGCAGCAGATGTCCTCCTGCTCCTCCTTCATTTCCATCATCTGCTCCGGTTCCGGATCTATATGGACTATTCCCAGGTCAGCAGGGCTCACCACAGAGCTGCTGCTCTCCTGCTTCACTACAAGCAACCCTTCATCCTCTTCTTCCTCACTGAGTTGAGCTTCTGGTTCCTTCTTGGTCGCCCTCATCTGTTGTGGTTCTGGTTCCTCCTGTTCCTCATTCATCTCAGGTCGTCTGGGATCTTTGGGTCAACAGTAGAGTCTCTCTTCCTCCACAGTAAGAGGCAGAGCTGAATCACAGCAAGACATGAGAAAATACAACTGCAACCTTAATAACATTTTATTGTTGCAGATAACAGAAACAATAAATTTATCACCAATAATCTGCTGTTATATACACACCAGAGCATTAGGGCCACTTAAAAAGAATTTGAACTTTTGTTCTGAATTTTGGCTTTAATCTTAGAATATTTCAATTTAAGTTCTTTTGGCCAATTAACGTCAGAACTCTGAAAAAATCTGAATTATAAGACAAAAGTCAGAATTTTGGGGGAAAATAATTTTATTTTTTTATTATTTTTTTTCAGTTGTCTTAATTCCTCAAAGTTGCATCTAATTCTGAACATTTATTGAGTGAATTAGTGAACATAAAGACCTGAGACGTGATGTTTCCTTCTTAGATCATTTTAACACACAGGAAGTTGATGTCCAGACACAGGAAGTTCTTCTTGTTAACAGGATCCTGTGGAAAGCACAAAATGTCAAAAAGGTCAACAAACAAGCCAGGTTGAAATATTTATAAGGAATGTTTTACAGTGATGAAGTTTTTATCACTACAATAGTCTCAAAATGCGGGAATGTCAGGAGGATCCAGTCCGTTATTTTCCCTCAAACAGTCAATATGGAAATTACAAACCAAATATTCATGAAGTAATTTTTATACTCATTAATCTGAATATGTTGCTTTCATATTTGAAAACATGCTTTTATTTTGAAGGCGCTGCAGGCAGTGGCAGTGTCTCACATGTACATGCTGCTCACGCCCTCCCTCCCTCTCTCTGCTATGCTACAGCTGGTTCACTACAGCAGTGCCTGTCATGAATGCTACGGCTTGTTAGCATAGCCACTGATGACAGAGGATAAACTGTTTTTCTGGACGGGTAAATTGTTTCTCCTCCTAGCACATTAAGCACCACATACATGAGTTTGATTGACAGAGCCAAGACCCTCCTCTTGGCTCCGATTGGTTGTTTCTGACCGGGGGCGGTGCATTTCTGTAGATGCTAATAGTAGCATTGCTCAATTTTTTTCCCCACAGATTAACTGTCTCATATTAAACTGTCAAAGTGATGACATTTTTAATATTTGTAAAAACACTTTTTAAATAAAAACCTAACCTAACCCTAAACCTAACTTTAGAAAAGGAAGCAAACAGACTAAAAAATGAGTCTGAATTATTTGTGTTTTATGTATGTTTGACCTTCCTGTTGTGAATCATTCACTTTTATAAAACTAATTACAGTCCTGCTTTCCATCTGGGTTTTTATTTAACCCTCTTTAAAAACATCATGGAGACACTTAGGAGTCCCAACCCTTTTGCTCATTATAGCTAAAACAAGAGACGTTTGATCTGATTTCACTTCAGACAGGGAGGGAAAAAGGTGCATGCATTTTTTTGGGCGTATGTAAACTTGTGGCCTCTGCTGTAGATATTTATATTATCTCCTTTTTAAAGCCTCTGCCGCCAATTGTGACTTAGTATGATGGGAACCTACGTACGGCAGCCGTTTCCCCAGATGGAGCGTAAAGCCATCTTCTAAACCTGATTCTCTCTTGCTACGATCTGCTAAATAAACAGAAACTTGTAGATTACAGAAAACAGCAAGAACTGAAAAAATATTCACAGTATTGCAAATACACAACTGAATTATCAATAAAATGCAATATTTTCCCTGTAAATAACACAATCCCACATCTTGTATAATAAATTCAGTTATCGTCCTTGTGTTTTAATCAGGCATCTTCGTAGCTTCTATAAACATCGGCCTCAGACGCACAGGCTAGCGAGTAGATCTGAAACACCTCCTCCTGGGGACGAAGCTAAAATATTCCTGGTTTCTGCTTTAACATCTGCTGGGTCATTATTTATTCTGATTATTTATCTGCAGTTTTCTTTCTATCGCAGTAAAAAAAGAAAAGACCGAAATGGCAATAACAACGGATACCTTCTGTTTCCTCCGCAGCACCATCTAGACACTTGATCCTCCTCTCGGTTTCGTTAGCTCATCGGAACCGCGCCCAATTAAACCACCTTGTTCTTCCGGACCGGGTTCGGTTCTCCACCTGTTTCCCAAGAATCCAGTACACTGATAGATTCAGCTCAAGCAGCAAAAAAACACGATAGACAGAGGATAGCGCTGATAGCGCAATGTTATTTATTTCCGCCGGATGTACGTTCAACGGCGTTCAACCAGGAACAGTGACCGCCCCTTGAGTTCCGCTTCCAGCTGGAAACTTTCCAGAGGTTGTTTACTTTTTGCTTCTGTTTCAAACATAATGTGTAAAATAAATAGTTTTATCTAAAACTAAGAGTGAAACTTTATTGCTACAGTACTAAAATTGTTTTAAAAGTCTAAAAACCAGAGAACATGACCAGAGATGGGCAGTAACTGGTTGCATTGGAGAAAAATTTTGTTGAGTAACATGATATGTTTTTCTCGTACTTGAATAACATCATTGTAAGATAATGCTACTTTTACTTGAGTACCATTTCTGGACCCTCAACCCGGTACAAGTAACAACACAATACAAGCAACATGTTCTGCTCAAATGTATTGTTTCGTTGTGGTGTGATTTATTTTTCTTCATTATTTTGAGAACCAAAATCTGCTTTTTCTTTTCTTTTCTTTTCTTTTTTTTTTTACATTATTTAAATAATATTTCTATATTTTAATTGTCATTTAGATCTATCTTTAAATAATTTGTTATTGTCGCTTTTGTTCTACTCTGGCTCAAAATGGGAGAAAATGTCATCCATCCATCCATTTTCTGTACAGATTGCCCCTACTGGGGTCAGGAGGTGCTGGTGCCTCTCCAGCTAACGGCGGGGTCACCGTGGAGACGTCAGTAAATTATATGCGGCATGTAGAACCTGTCCTAGCCAGCAGAGGGAGCCCTCCTCTGTTCAGAGAACTCACCATCAGCGGCCAGGAGCATCAGAGGTCTCACTACGGTCATCACTAAACATTATTTTTAACCCAAACTATGTCACAGTGAAGCTGTGATTTAGTGTTTAATCTTCTTGTGGTATGTTGGTGCGGATTCACCTTTAAGGTGAGTGGTGGGCGGCACCAACATAGCCTTTAAAGCCAGGTGTGTGGGGTGCGCACTCACATACAATTGTTTTGAGCTGTGGAGATGGCGTTGTGTGAGCTTGTGTGATCCTGTCTTTCCTCAATCAAGTAATGGTCTTCAGGTTGGTTTTGTGATTTTCCTTNAGTGGAGTAAAAGTAGAAAGTACCCATTATTAAATCGTTACTTCCCACCACTGCCACACACACATTCACACACACCTCAACACATTAAACTTATGGTGCCATCGGGTTCTTGGGGTCGAAGGTCAGAGTCAGGAAGCAGAACCTGCAGGGTTGCAGTGGTGATTCCCTCCAGCAGGGGGAGCCGCAGACCAAACGGAGAAGAACCTGAGGCAGAATCAGAACCAGGTTCAGGTGAATGTAAAAACATGGCCGCCTCTGTGTTTCCGGGACAGGTCGGAAGCTCCGCCCCATTTGAGCGGCTCCGCCCCTCGCCAGAGCCGCCGGACCAGAACCAGACCCCGACCAAAGGGGTTGTTCGGAGCGACAGCGCCCCTGAGAGGCCAGAGGTGGAGACGCAGAGGACGGTCCAGAGAAGCTCGGCCTCCTGTGGCTACTCCCAGGTTCATCCTGCAGAGTCCAGTTAAGAGGACGGACCAGAAACAGAACCAGAACCTTGACCCGCTCTGTTCTGTGTTTCAGAGGCTCAGCGACGCTGCAGATGGCGATCCGCAGGCTGCCAGGGCGCCGCCGGAGCTCCAGGTACCGACAGCAGACCATGAGCCTCTGAAGCGGGTCGGATCAGAACCAGCTTGTTTAGCGTCAAGCTGACCCGGTCTTCTCCACCAGCGGTTCTGATCTGTTTTTTAATTTCCTTCAGAACCAGTTTTAAACACGTCCAAATATGGTGCTTCCCGCACTGTCAAACATTTACCAGAACCAATGTTTGGACCGAACTTAGATCCAGACAAAAGTGTTCACAACCGACCTGTGTCAGACCCAAAGAACCAGCATCAACTACGCAAGACCTGGATCAAAACAGAAACAGAAGCTGCAGCTGGTTCTGGTTTGGGTTCATGGTTCTGTTCTGATCCAGGTCCAGTCCAGCAGCTCCAGCAGCTCCAGCCGACAGGCGGCAGCTTCTCCTCCTCCGGTCGGCACCGAGGTCCAGTCCGCAAGCCGAGGAACCACCCACGGTTCTGGGCCGTCCACGTCGGACCCGTCTGGCTGCACCGTGGTTCCAGGTCAGGAAACGGTTCTGGAGATCTGCAAGGGTCGGTCCGGACTGGGGCTCAGCATCGTGGGAGGAACAGACACCCAGCTGGTAACACCAAGTTCTGTCGGGCTGAACAGAACCGGTTCGGTCTCAAACGGGTCGTGGTCTCTCCTGCAGAACGCCATCGTGATCCACGAGGTGTACGAGGAAGGAGCGGCGGCTCGGGACGGACGGCTCTGGGCCGGAGACCAGATCCTGGAGGTACGGCTGCTGGTTCTGGTTCTGGTTCTGGTTCTGCTGGGCTGACTCTCGGTTCTGTGTCCAGGTGAACGGCGTGGATCTGCGCGGGGCGTCCCATGAGGAGGCCATCGCCGCCCTGCGTCAGACGCCGGCGAAGGTCCGGCTGACGGTTCTGAGGGACGAGGCCCGGTTCCGCGACGAGGAGAACCTGGACCGGTTCCAGGTGGAGCTGCAGAAGAAGAGCGGCAGAGGACTGGGCTTCAGCATCGTTGGCAAGAGGTCCGACTCCCTAACCAAGTCTGAGGGCCCAGAATTCTGTAGGGGAACCGGACCGGGACCAGAACCTCAGGCCCGTTCTGGTCCCGGTTTGAGCCCAAACAGCATCTAAATATGGCGCTCTCTACGGGTGAACGGTGGTACTGCAACTGAGCTCTACTGACCTCCGTGTGTGTGTGTGTGTGTGTGTCAGGAGCGGCAGCGGCGTGTTCATCTCGGAGGTGGTCAGAGGGGGCGCCGCTGAGCTGGACGGACGGCTGATGCAGGGAGACCAGATCCTGTCGGTGGACGGAGAGGACACGAGACGCGCGTCCCAGGAGGGCGTGGCCGCCATGCTGAAGGTGAGGATGAGGATGGAGGACGAAGGCAGGAGGTCTACCTCCTGACCCGAGATTCTGAGGAGCTGGTCCGGTCCAGTTGGAGAGGAAGGGTTGGTTCTGTTCAGTACAACCAGTTTAAGAACCAGAACTCTAGTTTTTGTGCAGAGCTGATTCTGGTTCTGACCCGCTTCCCTGTGGTTCTGTTGGTTCTGCAGTGCGCCCGTGGACCCGTCCAGCTGGAGCTCGGCCGCTTCAAAGCCGCTTCCTGGATATGCTCCAGACTGACCACCGGGGGGAGCCAGGTGGGCTTCTGAGACCGGATCAGAACCGACCGGGCCAGGTGGAGCCACTGGTTCGGATCAGGTTCACACCCAGAACCTCATGTAACAGAGCTGCTGCTGGTCGTCATGGTTATAATCTGAAAAGTGTGGCATGCTTCTCTAGCTGCGATTCCATTGACGTGAAAATTACACTAATTTTAATTCTGAAAATGAATTTATTACAGAAATGCACCAAATTCAATAAAAATAAAAACATTTTCCAGCTGTTTTGCTGTTTTCTGTAAAACTGCATCACGAGTTCTGACCAATAGGATGCCACTGCTGGCAGAAACGCAGGAGAAGAAACGACAGGAAGTGGCAGCGATTTCTAATGACATAACAAGAACCAATTCATCCTTTGTTTTTTTTTTGCAGCTTCTGTTACTGAAGCGATCAAACGTTTTTCTCTTCCTTCCAGATGAGCAACATCAGCAGCTCAGGTGTTGAGGCTCCGCCCCCCACACCTGCCTCACCTGAGCCCCCAGTAACCCCTGAGCCAATTAGCTTCAAGACCAGCAGTGACATCACTTCCTGCTCTGAGAGCAGCTCAGGTGGGAACAGACGGAGATTTTGATTTGATTTTTAAAAACTAATTTATTCACTCAGTAATGATCCATAGGAACATTCAACACAACTTCAAATTAACACATTCATAAAGTTCAGAATTAAAGTAAATAAAACACCTTCATAATCCTAAATATTCAGAAAAATATTTTCATCCATTTTTAAATATTTATATTCTAACATCACTCTTGTTCTAACCATACTACTTTTCACAATCAGTATTCTGTTCATTGTTAATTTTAAATTTTCTACTCCAATAAATTGCAACCTTTGCCTGACCAAGAAAAAATTCAACAACCGTCCAATTTTCCTTTCTTTTCACATAAAGAACCAGATTGGAGGCTGTTCTGTGAAACTTTCTCCGAATGATTTCCAAATGTCTCTTAGTAACGTAAATAAATCCATTATTCTGAAACATTGAACGAAACAATGAAAGGTAGTTTCTCTTAATAAACAAAAAGGACATTTACCTGAAACAGCAGGGTGAATAATAGAAACAAAAGTATTAACTGCAATAACGCCACTGTAAATCACTTTTAGCATTTTTAGTCATTTTTGGCTTATAAAGTAAAACCATCCAGGTTTCACCTCAGAACCAACTAAAAAAATCTCTCCAAGGAGTTTTTATCTTTTAATTTGACTTGGTTCATATCTATTGTCTTTGCATTCACAGAATCTAAACTGAAACAAAGTCGGACATTCAAAGTCTTTCAACTGTGGCTTAAAACGTCTTAAAGAAAAGGTCTGACCTGCGCGTGTGTGTGTG